AAGGGGCTTTGTCCCTAAAGGACTATTGTTTTTGTTTTGCGATTTTGCGTTGAATCACTATATATGTCCGTTTCACTTTTCAAACTGTTGCCACGAAATGTTAGAGTACTGCATTATATTTGAAGAAATTAACTAATGAAAAATCTGCATAAATGTATGTCCATTTCTCGCCTTGTGATAAAACAACGGTACCTAGAGCCATCGAATTTTGAATGATGCGTACGTTTCCACCTACGAATATGCGCATCTGGAAGATCTCAAATTTGGAATTTAGAATTTGTTTTATGATCGATTTTATATTTTGTAAAAGTGTAACGAATTTTTGAGTATAACAAACTCAACGGATTTCAAAGCGAGCAATGGCAACACTGTACAGGGAAAGAGAATATTTTTATCTCCAGCGCGCGGAACTGTGTATCGTAAATTCTAAAAATATGCTTATTTCAAAAATATTTTGCGACATTGCTATTAAACTGAATTTTATGGTTTAAGTGCAAACATGATATTCAATAAATAAAGGTAACCTTAAAAAACGCCCCTTTAGACTTCATTTAAAATCTGAAACCTTTCAGAATTTTTTTAAATTATTTTTTCGAGTTACATTGGTTTAATAAAACGCGTTGAAAAATGAAAAATACCTTTTCAACTATCACAACAACTCTTGTCATATGTGAATAAAAATAAAACATGGAAGCTGTCGTGTAAAATGGTTTTTAAATATTAACAGAATTTTAAGGTTGGGTTTGATAAGGTCAGATTATTGAGAGTAACTGTTAAGACACGAAAGCTATTTGTTCATGACAGGATGCCGTTATGAAGCAATCTTTAAGGGAAATTGGCTCGTGTTCGCGTTATACACAGGAAAATCCATAAAAGCTGAGATCCCGCCATTTACAGGGAATTGAAACCAGTTCGTTTCAAAAGTTTGAGCATTTCGCGATATTATCCGCTCGGCAGCTTGTGAACCTAAAATATCTAGAAAATTTCGATTTAAAATTATTCATTCTTAGTTGCCCAACATTTTTTCTTTTATTCTAATATAACGAAGAACGTTGAGATGAAGGAAAAATTACTTTTTTAAGTTATAAGGGGTTTTCTCCCTCCTTTCCGCATGCTTTCGTGGTGTAACGGTAGTATACACTAAGCGTATTCGAAAAGTTCAGGTTCGAGTATCGGTGAGGGCACTGCATACTTTTTACATCTTCTGCATCAAAAAATCTTAATGACTCTATAGTGGCGCCCGAACTAAAAGTTGGAGGAAAATATATCGTTACGCAGGATTTGGCGATTGGGTCCCTTAATCCTCCTTCACATTTTGAAAGGGACAGTATATAAGGTATTTTTTTCCTTCCTTCAGCATGTCTTTATGGTATAACAGTAGCACATTTGCAGCGTATTCGAGAGGTCCAGGTTGGAGTACCGGCGAGGGTACTGCACATTTTTAATGTCTCTTGCTTCCCCCCCCAAAAAAACCCTAATGACTCTACAATAATTTAGAGCATTTCATTAAAACCATGTAATTTTTTAAATGTGTTAAAATGTAAAAAAAAATTATTTTGTTTATTTATAAATTTTTATTTCTTTTATTATTATTATTATTTATTATAAATGTGCTTAAAATTTTAAATATTTAATTTTGTCTTCCAATATATAAATTAATTTAAAACAGAAAAAGCCTTAACGCCATGCAGTAGCTTATTATTTTAATTTATTTAATACGAGTGGCATAAATAATTTTTTGGAATCGTATTACGCAATATCTTTGATAAATATATCAAAAATTTCTCAAGCTTAAAAAAAAAATAAAATCGCCAATTTTTCTTGTTTTATTTTTTCTGTTCTATTGATTTCATGTAGAGCAAGGTTTCCTAAACTCTTTTCAGTCGCGACCCCTTTCTATCACTGAGATTTTTTCGCGACCCCCAGGACCCCATAATATTTACAAACATTTTGTGAGACTCAAAGATTTTGTGAGAATTTTAGAGAAGTATTGCACAAATCCGAAACACTCGTGAGTGAAACTGTAAATTTTTTCACTTGTACTGTAATATACTATTGTAGTTTTAGGTCATTAACTTTAAATTTCTCAGTTTAAGACATAGAACAATGTGAAAATTTTAAATAACTAACAGACGAAATGACAGCGTCACGTGCAAAGCAAGGAAAGTGAATTATAAAAAGAATGCGTCGAAACGTTTTCGTTTTTTTCCTTTGCCTGTATAACCTTATCTTTATCCATTTTCAGATACATTGTGTAAAAATATTTGGTAATTGTTAAATTATTATAATACGTTAAAGAAATATCAAAACTGTTAAAATTTTTGACGACCCCCTGCTGAAGGTCCGGCGATCCCCTTGAGGGTCGCGACCCACCGTTTAAGAAACCCTGATCTAGAGCACCTGCGCGAGTTTTATTTCATTTAGATTAATGAACCAAATTGATAATCTGAATGTATGTTTTTTGCTTTCAAACAACTTAGAAAAGCTGTTCAAATATCGTTTACGTTTTGCAAAAAACTCTTTCCTGGGAAAACAAGGAGTTCTTGTCAGTTTATGCTCACGGAAATGTTTTAAGTGGTTTCCAAATTAGGAAATTTTTATCGTTTGTCAGCGTAAAAAAAATGGCCCTGCGAAACCAAATATAAAATTGTATGCGACAGAATTAAGAACTATACAGAGATACTAATAGAATTCCAAGGAACAAAAGAGAGAAATAATACATATATAAGAAAGACTTAATTTTAGTAACATATGACCAAAATCCCTGTAAATAAAAAAAACATTTTTATAACTATTAAGTGTATTTATCTAAAGCAGTGGAAAACAAAAGATTCATGAATGTATATTTATTAATTTTTCAGTCTTTTTCCCCCTTGATATTTCTACAAGTATAAGCCTTTTTCTGCTTTGGCTTTCATACAAAATAAAAAAGTAAAACATTTCCCTTTTTCTCTCCGCACTACGTAAGGGTTACGTTGCTATTAACTAAGAATATTTTGCAACAAATTTCACGAAAGCTTACGTAAGGTGAAGAATTTCACGATCAAGCTCAAACAGCACATAAACAATATAGGACCAATTTTTTTGTTGTTTGTTTTACACCACAAGTATAATTAATAAAAACTGTTTCCATAAAGGAGAATGTCAGCTACAGAACCGTTTTATCTACGTTTCTTTATTTTTTTAAAATTTCGTGTAAATAATGAATGAAGAGAATCGTTTGTATATTTAATAAGTCATTCCTTTAAAAGCATAATTTATTCATTTCATTAAGGGTGTAAATGTTTAAAGATTACCAAGCTCAGTAAAATATTAAAATTAGCTCAGTAAAATATTAAAATACAGAATGGAGTGCAGGAGTGGAAGATATTGAAAATGCCGTAATGCATACCCCATAGTGTTTACAAAAATGTTCACATATTCTTACATAATTCTGGATATAAGAAGGTACAAGTATGCAATTTACATAAAAACATCTCTTTTAAAAATAATGTTTTCTAAATGTTCCTTTCTGAGATAGCATTCTTGCATTCGTGAATGGACGTTTCTCATAACTTTCTCTGGCCGTCGGGAGTAACGAATTGAATCTCTTCACATATCGCAACTTCGATTTCATCCAGTGTCTGATGACAGTAGTAAACACACGATCCTTTAAATGGCCCCGTAAAAGAAAATCTCATGCTGTCAGATTTAATGATCTTTCTGGCCAGTTCATATCGCCATTTCTAGGATGGATGCAATGCATGGAGCTTATATGGATGTAGTTCTAACTTATCATGCAATATTCTGCCCAAACTCCGACGTGTTAATCCTGATGTTTTGAGTACTCTTCTGTTATCTGGATCGGATTCAGAACTGTATGCATGTATATATGCGTATACGTAGGTATGTATGTGTATACACACACACATTCGCATACATACATATACTTCTGAATCCGGTCTTGGTAACAGAAAAGTACCGTGACTTGGATGTTGTCTTGCAGAAAGCTGCGAGTTTTGCTCGATCATTAACTGCTTAGATACTCTTTGGAGTTCGCACCGCTTTCTTAGTCCTACATGTTTTTAAATTCACGATTGTCCTCGTTGCTTCAAATCTTTTCGCCTATTCCTTCACAGCATGGGCCAACGGAACCATATCATGATGGTACAGTTGAAAATGACAGCGTCTAGCTTCATAACTATCACTGTTTGTATAATATGCTTTCACAGCGAAAGCGCTCTGCTGTTCTGATCACTGATTTATAGCAATTGAAATGGCATTGTATATGCTACATTATAATGGTCTCATAGTGTTCCTATATTTAACAGCGTCGTCCATATACAACGTATTTCGAAATATCCAACTCCGGCAAGCCACCCTTTATATGTTTTCGCTATGTAAAAAATATAATAATAATAAATTATAAAATAATATTTTTGTTGGCTAAAGCTTATACACTTACATATATATGAAAACGTAAATCATGAAGAAGTACAAATATTGCTTTTAAATTACTCAGGTCAAATCTCCGTCCATGATTTTAAATTAAATGTCGTATACAACCCAGAACTGTAACTCTTCCAAAGATGGCAAATTACCAAAGCTTAAAATACAATCAATTATAACTGTCATAGATAAATGTGACGCGTCGCGAAACATTCGGAGCTGAGACTACAGATGTTTGCAATATTAAAAAAGAAAGGAAAAAAAAAACTGCTTAGACTATATAAATATCTTTCATGTTTTAAGGTGAAATCGGGGGAATCAGATTGAGTTTTATTTTATTTTCATTTGAAGTTTATGACGATAATGTTAATGATATTAGAACAAGCATGCAAATAAATGCAAAATAAAATATGTTACATACTTTAACATAAACACAATGGCAACAGAGAAATTACTTTTCATCACTAATTGATTAACGTTTGTGCTTTTGTGAAGATTTCAGAGAGCTTTTAAAAGTTTCTCATGTATTTTCCATGTCTTTAAATTCTTAATTCCAGGCAAAAGATAATATTCTATATTTTCTCTTTTTCAGAAAACCTATGGCGATTAAGTAGATGATGCATCGAACGTGAGAGGGCGCCACCGCTGTTCCTCCACCATGGGGCCAAGAGATTGTACTATCCTATGTTTGCTTCTGCTCGCGTCTCTCAGAAGTAAGATTTTCAAAACTTAAAACCGCTACCCTAGAAAATAAATAAATAAATACAAATATTAAAAAAACCGAAAGCTTTCAGATTTTATATTACACCCAAAGGGACATTTTTTTCATGGGGGATTCAAAACGGGATTTGAAAAGAGAGAAAGACATTCTATAAGTCCTTATTCATATAAATTCTATTGAGTCATTCGACATAAAATACAGTTAGACATTGTAACGCCTTTGCGTTTCTACGCTACCAAAATAATACCAGTAAGAAATGTAAAGAAACCTCCAGCAAAACATATCTGTACTTAAGGATGCACGTGTTGTTAATGTTAATGGAACGCTTTGAAATCGTTGAGTTTGTTAATAAAAAATTTCATTAAAGTTTTACAAAATATGAAATAGATAATCATACAAATTCCAGATTCCAAATTCGGACCTCTGGATGCCGATATTCGAGTGGAGGAGTACGTTATTCAAAATCTGATGTCCCTAGGTACCGCTGTTTTTTGACAATGCGAGAAATATAGATACATTCATGCAGATTCTTCATTATTTAATTTCTTTAAATGTAATGCAGAACTCTAATATTTATTTGGTGGCAATAGTTTGAAATATGAAACGTCGTTTGTAGTGAATCAACACAAAATGCCAAAACTAAATTGATAGCCTTTATGGGCAAATTGCCCCTATAGGCTAAAAAACACACACACACACACACGCAAAAAAAAAAAAAAAAAAAAAAAAAAAAAAATTTAAATTCTTCAGCATCATCATTTTGGATCCATGCGTCGAGTTGCTGTCTACCCCGCTCTGTAAAGAAAGTCGCGTATTCTGTAGAACTTTTAAGACTAAATTCTTTTCTTATTTAGATTTCATCCGGAAGCTTTTTTTAATATGCAAGGTGGAGAGCTCTTACTCCTCTTTAGTTTAACATTCATAACAACAACTATGTGATGAATTTTATTCTTAGAGAGACTCAAAAAGTATAAAACTTTTCGTTCATGGTAATAGTGTTGAATCGTGGATATTTGTGAAATGTAAGGCGGAAATCAAAGAAGTGAAATTCCAGTAGATTCTTTAAGAGAAAATGAATTCTTGGTTTTTATCAGTCTATTAATGTCCAGTTATCACGCAGTTCATGATCTTTTTCCCATTTCTTTCTAAATTTGACAACAAACAAAAGTTGTCATATGGCATATATAGTAAAAACTGAGCCACGAATCAATCTGAATTTTAATCACATACATGATTTATGGTCTAGGTAAAAAAAAAAAAAAACAAATCCAACAAATCACGTCACATCTAGTACATGTGTGTGTATATAACCCATTCTGTTACCCGGCTCGATGAGTTAAGATTTTTTTATTGATATATGTTGGAAAATTGTGGACTTTTTTGCTTTAAAAGTGATTGAATTGTGTTGTTATTGTATTGTTTGTTCTTATGTTCTGGTTAAGAATTTCATGCTTTTAGTTAATCTGCATAAAATAGTTGTAGAATAATCAACAATTTAAAGATTGTTTAAGCGAGACTAAGCCTAATAGAGCGGCCATGATTGTTTGCATTTGAAACTTAGCAGAATAGTGAATTAAGTGAGTTTCTGCATCTTGCGTGTCTTTTTGCCCAGTGAGACCAAAAGTAAGCTTTCAGTTTTGTGCACCGAAAAATCTGCCTTCTTGCACGCTGGCCGAATTGCTTATTTTTGCGCAGAAACTCTAATTTTAATTGTGAAATAAAATGTTAAGTGTTTTAATTGTATTCGGTGATTTATGTCTTTCTATAGTTTTCAATTTTAATGAAGATTTTCTGAGTTTTTATGTACTTTCGCCTTGATGCGAAATGAGAACTGAATTAATTGAATGAGAAATATATCTCTAATGAAATTTGAATAAATACGTTTAACTGAAATGCAGCAAAAATTGTGTATAATTTAAAAGGTCGTACAAAGAAGTCATGTGGTGTCCATATAAGATTTTTTTTTATAATGTTCTTGATTGTATTTAAAAAACGGAAAGAAAAAGGTAACCGGATTCTTAAAATCATCATAGGTAGCAATACCGTTTTTTTATGAAAAATACATTATTAATACATATATTCCTTTCATCATAAGAAAGAATGTCTTTTAGCGATACGAAGGAATACTTGTGAGCATCATAGAAGGGAATGTCTTTTCTTGTAAAAAGATTTTTAAGTGCTTATTTAATCGTATGAAATATAAGACCCCTTCCAATAATAATTAAATAACTGAACCTTTAGCTAAAAACGTGTTTAGTGTGATAAATATTAAATCTAGAACAATGGAAGAGCAAAAAGGAACTCTCTTCGATTTAGTAATATATAAAAATATGGCATATATAAGAAGGCAAACTGATAAATATTTCAACTGACTAAAATTTCCGAAACCTGTCTAGCTAAAAATTTTACTAATTACTCCAATTTTTTCTAAAAACTTATGAATTCTCGCTGCCGCTTTGTAGATGCTTGTAAGATTTATTTTAATTAAAGCGTTGTTTTCTTAAATTAAATCCTTGCTGCATTTTTATTTTTTACGTAAAATTCGCCAGAAAGGCAAATTAAATGAGCTTAAGTAATGAAACAAAATGCGTGTGTTTTGACAGAGTGTTGAGCACTTTAATTAGGAGAGCAGAAACTCTCAGATTTTACTTACCATAATGTTGCGCTGATTATTGATGAGTTTTAGCGTTTGATCTTGTTTGTAGTAGCTATGTTAGAAGGCCCGTTAACAGAGAAGTCAAGTTTTAGTCTCTAATTTGATAGCTGTTTTAGACATAGTTGTATTAGTGTTGTTTTCTGAGGATGCAGGAAACGTAAATTAAGTTTCTTTTAAACATTTTAGTTTTTGTATTTTCCGAAGCAGGAAATATGAAAACTCAGCTTGTGCCAGTTACCGGATTCGCTCCTCTTCTTCCGACTGAATTAGATCTTCCGACTGTTAGATTTCCAATAATCCGCATAAAATGAATATGCTTACTATTTTCATAACAACAACACACAAGACGAATGCCATCATTCTTCACATACTCCTCCTTTCCCTCCACTAAAAAAAGGAGGCAAAAGAAAAGAATAATTAGTCGACCAAACTTACCAAAGAATTGTTCTTAATTCGGATGACATTACAAAGTTAAGTTTAATTTGTTGCAGGTTTTTTTTAACTCTTTGGTGTGGAGAACCCTTAATATTTACGAAAGTTTTGGGGAACCCCCATAAACATTGACTAAATTCGACACACGCGTCATTGAAGCTGTCAGTTCCTTCACTTGTAATGCAATGTACTATTGCAGATTTACGTCTTTAATTTTTAAAGTAAAATGAAAGTTTCTATTGTGAAAAATGCGACGAGAAGTTTTCGTTTTTTCCTTGTCTGTATTGCTTATATTTATCTATTCTCAGGTACGTTATGTGAAAATATTTGGTAATTGTAAAATTATTATAACAAGTTAAAAAATATCAGAATTGCTCATATTCTTGGCCACCCTCTATGCAGGTTCACGACCCACAGTTTTAAGAACCTCTGACTTATCACAATGGGATGTGCTATTGCCATTTCATTTTACTGTGCTTATACAGATACCTACACATAACACAGAGAAAAAATTCTCCACATATTTCTTGCTAAAGCGGGTACACTTTGCAAATAAAAGTCTTACAATTCAGAATTTAAGCAGGGAATGTGGATAGTATTAAGAGACCTAGATTGTGAACGTGTGAGCTTCTCTATATTTAGATTCATGAATCATCTTGTAACGTTGCGCGCCTCCAACTTGCACGCAACCAAGGGGGTGACTGTGAAAACTGTATAAAAGATAGAGTCTTGTGAAGGGTTTAAGTCCCTTTTTATTCAACGTAATAAATTACAATTGCGTGCTCTTAACGCTCACAGACTGCGCCAACTCGGCGGTCAAATAAAAATAATAACCTGAAAAGAAACTAAAGACAAGACTCTAACTAAGAGGCTCTCTAAAATAACTAACTCACCGCGTTTACAATACGCTGCTAATTCAGCAGACTTGAAGCTCACTTGAACGATTAACACTACTTCCCGCCAAGCACATAGGCCGAAAACGCGGGGTTCTTCAATTTCTCGCTAACTACCTCCGCGCTCGTGAAAGTAAGAATATCACACTCCGAACTTGTTTCCTTTCAATTTAAATCATAATACTTCCGCTGATAATTTGAATCCTTGCGCGTTCTACTAAAATTTACATATTCTGGCATTGGCAGTTCCAGGGGAAAGTAAGGCTTGACAGGAAAGATAGTTTAAACTTAAAATAAATGTTAGTTAAAATAAATATAAACCCAACATTTGCCGCTGCCAGAATTTGGAAAACTTGGAAGCAGATCCTACAAACGACCTGTTGTAAGTTTCTCTAATTCTGAACTAACTGGCGAGAACCTCGTTTACACAAAAAAAATCTTATGTAACAATTTGTATACTAAAATTCTGTTGCTCGTTTTAACTCTCTCTTCTTACAGCAACTTTTCCTGGACTTCATCAATCAATCTTGGTCTTTCCTTCCAGCATCTGGAAGGAATAAGTATCAGTATCTTTCTACATACATTATAATTTACACTTCTTGACACAATAAATTTTTGTTTTTAACGACGATTCGTTTTTCTTAGTTATTGCTTACTTCACATTCATTCAATTTTTCAAGCATTTTAATTTAACTTTACCCTGGCTCTCCACCGTGTGTGGTGTCAAACGGGAATATTAGTGTTTATTCTTACAAACACACTTTCCCCTAACCACCATGATTTGTTAGAATTAATTCAACGACCAAATAGACACACCTTACTCGACATTCTACAACTCAATGAGCTACTTTAATAGTCTTAAAAATTTCAAATGTAGGTGGGAAAAACCCTACAAAAACACATTCATTCTAACTTCCCCCTCATCATCTTTTAAACATGCAGGCTTTCGCTCTAAAGCATGACTTTATCTACAATTTAATACTTAAATTTTGACTTCATTGCTGTAAGCAT